CAGGTCTCCTCACACACTGCTGGTGTGTTGAATTTGAATTTTTTGACATAGGGTGCTGGCAGATTACGGGCCTCCCATAGCTGCTGCCAGGCCCCTAATCTGCCATAGGCCCCTATATACCCGCCTCCTCATGCTGCTGCTGCCAGGTCCAGAGTCTCTCATGGGTCCCTGTACGGCCTCCCATTGCTGCTGTCTCCATCGCCACACTCTGCCATGTGCCACTTTCAGGTCTCCTCACACACTGCTGGTGTGTTTGAATTTTTTGACATAGGGTGCTGGCAGATTACGGGCCTCCCATAGCTGCTGCCAGGCCCCTAATCTGCCATGGGCCCCTATATACCGCCTCCTCATGCTGCTGCCAGGTCCAGAGTCTCTCATGGGTCCCTGTACGGCCTCCCATTGCTGCTGTCTCCATCGCCACACTCTGCCATGTGCCACTTTCAGGTCTCCTCACACACTGCTGGTGTGTTGAATTTTTTGACATAGGGTGCTGGCAGATTACGGGCCTCCTATAGCTGCTGCCAGGCCCCTAATCTGCCATAGGCCCCTATATACCCGCCTCCTCATGCTGCTGCCCAGGTCCAGAGTCTCTCATGGGTCCCTGTACGGCCTCCCATTGCTGCTGTCTCCATCGCCACACTCTGCCATGTGCCACTTTCAGGTCTCACCTCACACTGCTGGTGTGTTGAATTTTTTGACATAGGGTGCTGGCAGATTACGGGCCCTCCCATAGCTGCTGCCCAGGCCCCTAATCTGCCATAGGCCCCTATATACCGCCTCCTCATGCTGCTGCCAGGTCCAGAGTCTCTCATGGGTCCCTGTACGGCCTCCCATTGCTGCTGTCTCCATCGCCACACTCTGCCATGTGCCACTTTCAGGTCTCCTCACACACTGCTGGTGTGTTGAATTTTTTGACATAGGGTGCTGGCAGATTACGGGCCTCCCATAGCTGCTGCCAGGCCCCTAATCTGCCATGGCCCCTATATACCGCCTCCTCATGCTGCTGCCAGGTCCAGAGTCTCTCATGGGTCCCTGTACGGCCTCCCATTGCTGCTGTCTCCATCGCCACACTCTGCCATGTGCCACTTTCAGGTCTCCTCACACACTGCTGGTGTGTGTTGAATTTTTTGACATAGGGTGCTGGCAGATTACGGGCCTCCCATATAGCTGCTGCCAGGCCCCTAATCTGCCATGGGCCCCTATATACCGCCTCCTCATGCATGCTGCTGCCAGGTCCAGAGTCTGTCATGGGTCCCTGTACGGCCTCCCATTGCTGCTGTCTCCATCGCCACACTCTGCCATGTGCCACTTTCAGGTCTCCTCACACACACTGCTGTGTGTTGAATTTTTTGACATAGGGTGCTGGCAGATTACGGGCCTCCCATATAGCTGCTGCCAGGCCCCTAATCTGCCATAGGCCCCTATATACCGCCTCCTCATGCTGCTGCCAGGTCCAGAGTCTCTCATGGGTCCCTGTACGGCCTCCCATTGCTGCTGTCTCCATCGCCACACTCTGCCATGTGCCACTTTCAGGTCTCCTCACACTGCTGGTGTGTTGAATTTTTTTGACATAGGGTGCTGGCAGATTACGGGCCTCCTATAGCTGCTGCCAGGCCCCTAATCTGCCATGGCCCCTATATACCGCCTCCTCATGCTGCTGCCAGGTCCAGAGTCTCTCATGGGTCCCTGTACGGCCTCCCATTGCTGCTGTCTCCATCGCCACACTCTGCCATGTGCCACTTTCAGGTCTCCTCACACTGCTGGTGTGTTTGAATTTTTTTGACATAGGGTGCTGGCAGATTACGGGCCTCCCATAGCTGCTGCCAGGCCCCCCCTAATCTGCCATGGGCCCCCTATACCGCCTCCTCATGCTGCTGCCAGGTCCAGAGTCTCTCATGGGTCCCTGTACGGCCTCCCATTGCTGCTGTCTCCATCGCCACACTCTGCCATGTGCCACTTTCAGGTCTCCTCCACACTGCTGGTGTGTTGAATTTTTTTGACATAGGGTGCTGGCAGATTACGGGCCTCCCATAGCTGCTGCCAGGCCCCTAATCTGCCATGGCCCCCTATACCGCCTCCTCATCACTGCTGCCAGTCCAGAGTCTCTCATGGGTCCCTGTAACGGCCTCCCATTGCTGCTGTCTCCATCGCCACACTCTGCCATGTGCCACTTTCAGGTCTCCTCACACTGCTGGTGTGTTGAATTTTTTGACATAGGGTGCTGGCAGATTACGGGCCTCCCATAGCTGCTGCCAGGCCCCTAATCTGCCATGGCCCCTATATACCGCCTCCTCATGCTGCTGCCAGGTCCAGAGTCTCTCATGGGTCCCTGTACGGCCTCCCATTGCTGCTGTCTCCATCGCCACACTCTGCCATGTGCCACTTTCAGGTCTCCTCACACACTGCTGGTGTGTTGAATTTTTTGACATAGGGTGCTGGCAGATTACGGGCCTCCCATAGCTGCTGCCAGGCCCCTAATCTGCCATGGGCCCCTATACCACCGCCTCCTCATGCTGCTGCCAAGTCAGAGTCTGTCTCATGGGTCCCTGTACGGCCTCCCATTGCTGCTGTCTCCCATCGCCACACTCTGCCATGTGCCACTTTCAGGTCTCCTCACACTGCTGGTGTGTTGAATTTTTTGACATAGGGTGCTGGCAGATTACGGGCCTCCTATAGCTGCTGCCAGGCCCCTAATCTGCCATGGGCCCCTATATACCGCCTCCTCATGCTGCTGCTGCCAGTCCAGAGTCTCTCATGGGTCCCTGTACGGCCTCCCATTGCTGCTGTCTCCATCGCCACACTCTGCCATGTGCCACTTTCAGGTCTCCTCACACTGCTGGTGTGTTGAATTTTTTGACATAGGGTGCTGGCAGATTACGGGCCTCCCATAGCTGCTGCCAGGCCCCTAATCTGCCATGGGCCCCTACCGACTCCTCATGCTGTGACGTTGCAACAAGGTGGAATTCAACCCTACATATGTTAGACCACCGCCTTTACGAACGAACAGCAAAAGGCCATCACAGATTTCCTGATGTTAAAAGCGGATAAAGGTACTCCCTGTGTAACTTAGATGTCAGCCATTGGCAGCTCATGCGTGACACCTGCCGCTTGCTCAGGCCCTTTGAGGAGGCCACGCTATTCGTGAGTCGGCAGGACTATGGGATGAACGACGTCATTCCTCTGTTGCACGTCCTGGAACAAATGCTGTTAACAATGGCTGGTCAGGGTGCGGTAGACGTGGCGCACAGATCTCAACGCCACATGACCCCTGTGGGGGCAGGACAGGAAGAAGAGAGGAGGAGGTAGAGGAGGACATTGGTGCTCAGGAATTATTGAGTGAAATGGGTGGTTTTTTTCCACTCAGCGGACAGGAGTGGAGGAGCAGGAGCATCTGGTAGAGGAGGAGGAAGAGGAGACACAGAGGACCCAGACGCACCGTGGCAGTATGCTGTGGAGATGGAGGCAGGGAGTCCCTCGCATTCCTTGGCACAAATGGCCCATAGCATGCTCGCTTGCTTGCGTAGCGACAGCCGAATAATAACCATCAGACAGAGGGATGACTTTTGGCTGTCCACCTTGTTGGACCCTCGCTACCGTTCAAAAATGGTGGCCTTTTTCACACCTGCTGAGAGGGAGGCCAAAATAACGTACTATAAAAACCACCTATGTAGTCAGCTGGTCTCTGCCTGTCTGCGCCAACGTCCATCCTCAGACACTGTGGGCCCTGTGCGCTCGCGTTCCGCTGCCATGGCAGCAGGGGAGGGGTGGGGTGGTAGGAGCAGTGGCAGCTCCACCAGCAGCGCTGCCTCAGTCTGCAGTCGTCGATGATGAGTAGCTTTCTTCACCAGCGCAGCAGTGAGGAAACTACCATGCCGCCAACCAGCCGCAGCAGCAGCATCAGCATGGACCCTGGAGCAGGACCTCAAACAACAGGCTTAGGCCTACTTGGACAGCACCCTGCCAACCGAGGTAGACAATCCCCTTGACTACTGGGCAACGAAAAACTTGACCTTTGGCCCCAACTAGCTGAATTTGCCCTTGAAAGGCTGTCATGCCCGGCCAGTAGCGTGGCATCGGAGCGCGTGTTTTAGTGCGGCAGGAGGTATTGCAACTCCGCGGAGGACACGACTGTCCACCCAAAGTGTGGAGAGACCCTCACGTTTGTGAAAATGAATACAGGCGTGGATTAGTCTGGATTTCAAACCACCAGTTCCTGACACAACTGACTAAATCCGCCATGAATCATGCCCCAAACATGTGCCACTTTCAGGTCTCCTCACACTGCTGGTGTGTTCCATTTTTTGTCATAGGGTGCTGGCAGATTACGGGCCTCCCATAGCTGCTGCCAGGCCCCTAATCTGCCATGGGCCCCTATACCCGCCTCCTCATGCTGCTGCTGCCAAGTCCAGAGTCTCTCATGGGTCCCTGTACGGCCTCCCATTGCTGCTGTCTCCATCGCCACACTCTGCCATGTGCCACTCAGGTCTCCTCACACTGCTGGTGTGTTCCATTTTTTGTCATAGGGTGCTGGCAGATTACGGGCCTCCCATAGCTGCTGCCAGGCCCCTAATCTGCCATGGGCCCCTATACCGCCTCCTCATGCTGCTGCCCAGGTCCAGAGTCTCTCATGGGTCCCTGTACGGCCTCCCATTGCTGCTGTCTCCATCGCCACACTCTGCCATGTGCCACTTTCAGGTCTCCTCACACTGCTGGTGTGTTCCATTTTTTGTCATAGGGTGCTGGCAGATTACGGGCCTCCCATAGCTGCTGCCAGGCCCCTAATCTGCCATGGGCCCCTATATACCGCCTCCTCATGCTGCTGCCAGGTCCAGAGTCTCTCATGGGTCCCTGTACGGCCTCCCATTGCTGCTGTCTCCATCGCCACACTCTGCCATGTGCCACTTTCAGGTCTCCTCACACTGCTGGTGTGTCCATTTTTTGTCATAGGGTGCTGGCAGATTACGGGCCTCCCATTGCTGCTGCCAGGCCCCTAATCTGCCATGGGCCCCTATACCGCCTCCTCATGCTGCTGCCAGGTCCAGAGTCTCTCATGGGTCCCTGTACGGCCTCCCATTGCTGCTGTCTCCATCGCCACACTCTGCCATGTGCCACTTTCAGGTCTCCTCACACTGCTGGTGTGTTCCATTTTTTGTCATAGGGTGCTGGCAGATTACGGGCCTCCCAGCTGCTGCCCAGGCCCCTAATCTGCCATGGGCCCCCGTACCGACTCCTCATGCTGCTGCCAGGCCCGTAATCTGTCATGGGCCCCTGTTGTCGCTTGTTGGCATCTTCCGCTCGTTCAGATGCTCCTTCTCCTGCTACTCCTCTTCACGGATTCCGTCAGCAGTCTTTCTTGGAATCCGTTTCCAAGAGACAACAGTTTGCGAGCACGCACCCCCATGGTGCAGAAGCTGAACGTCCTCCTGTCCAAGTTGCTGCTGCCAGGCTCGTAATCTGTCATGCGCCCCTGTACCCCTCCTCATGCTGCTGCCAGGTCCAGAGTGTGTCATGGGCCCCCGTACCGACTCCTCCTGCTGCTGCCAGGCCCGTAATCTGTCATGGGCCCCTGTACCCCGCCTCCCCATGCTGCTGCCAGGTCCAGAGTGTGTCATGGGTCCCTGTACGGCCTCCCATTGCTGCTGCCAGGCCCGTAATCTGCCATGGGCCCCCGTACCGACTCCTCATGCTGCTGCCAGGCCCGTAATCTGTCATGGGCCCCTGTACCCCCTCGCCTCCTCATGCTGCTGCCAGGTCCAGAGTGTGTCATGGGTCCCTGTACGGCCTCCCATTGCTGCTGTCTCTATCGCCACACTCTGCCATGTGCCACTTTCAGGTCTCCTCACACTGCTGGTGGTTTCCATTTTTGTCATAGGGTGCTGTATGGCCTCCCATTGCTGCTGCCTCCACCGCCACACTGTGGCTCCACACTCTGGTTTTGGCCCCGTGACTGCCCAAATGAGTGAAGTGTGCGGTGATTCTAAGATCGACGGCACTCATCTGCATGTCATACTGACTGACAGTATTATTTCTCTTCCCCAGCAGACTCCAAGGGCATTTAAATTAAAGGTACAGTGTTCTGCACTAATATTAAGTCTCTCTGAAGCCTAGAAACACCCTTTTTTAAGTTAAATTCACAGCGAATATATTCGACTCGAATCGAAATTTTTCCACGAATTCGCCGAATCGAATTTTTGAATACTTCGCTCATCTCTAATGATAACCTGTGTGCTTTTTATTTTTTGCGCTATAAAACAAAAAAAGACCAAACATTTTGGGAAAAAAAAAAGTCTCATTTCTGTCATAAAAAAAATATCCAAAAAACTCAAATTTCGTCATAAATTTAGAGCAAAATGTATTTTGCTACATGTCTTTGGTAAAAAACAAATCCCAGTAAACTGCATATTAATTGGTTTGTGTGAAGGTTATAGCATCTACAAACTATGGTATACAATATCTCACAGAAGTGAGTACACCCCTCACATTTTTGTAATTATTTTATTCTATCTTTTCATGTGACAACACCGAAGAAATGACACTTTGCTACAATGTAATGTAGTGAGTGTACAGCTTGTATAACAGTGTAAATTTGCTGTCCTCTCAAAATAACTCAACACACAGCCATTAATGTCTAAACTGCTGGCAACTAAAGTGAGTACATGCCTAGTAAAAATGTCCAAATTGGGCCCAGTTAGCCATTTTCCCTCCCCGGTGTCATGTGACTTGTTAGTGTTACAAGGGCTCAAGTGTGAATGGGGAGCAGGTGTGTTATATTTGGTGTTATCGCTCTCACTCTCTCATACTGGTCATTGGAAGTTCAACATTGCACATCATGGCAAAGAACTCTCTTTTATTTTAAATTTTTTTTTATTTAACTTCAAAGAGGATCTGAAAAAAATAATTGTTGCCCTATATAAAGATGGCCTAGGCCAGTGATGGCGAACCTTTTTTCCTCAGCCCGAGTGCCCAAAACTGCAACACAAAACCAACTTTTTTATTTCAAAGTGCCAACACTGCAATTAACCACTTGCCTACCGGGCACTTCTACCCCCTTCCTGCCCAGACCAATTTTCAGCTTTCAGTGCTGTTGCACTTGACAATGACAATTGTGCGGTCATGCAACACTAATTTTTTCACACAAATAGAGCTTTTTTGGTGGTATTTAATCACCACTGGGTGTTTTATTTTTTGCACTATAAATGAAAAAAGAGCAAAAAATTAAAAACATAAAAGGTTTTCTTTGCTTCTATTATAAAATTTTGCAAACAGGTAATATTTCTTCTTTTATGTGCGTTGGTGAGGCTGCACTAATAGGCAGCACTGATGGGCATTGATGAGGTGGCACAGATAGGTAGCACTGATGAGGCGGCACTGGTGGGCATTGATGATGGCACTGACTGATAGCACCAACTGGAGGCACTGACAGACGGCACTGATCGGTGGCACTGCTGGGCAGCACTGACAGGCAACACTTTTGGCTATAGCATGGTTGGCAAGCAGTTAATCTCACCTCTGGCAGTGTCGGTATGGCTTCCAACCCAGCAGCTCATTCCCATCCACGCTGAACACATCGCCCCTGGCCCCGGAGCAGTGTGGGAGCCTCTTCCTCTCTTCCACGCTAATCCCCGGCTACATCGCCCCTTGTGCCAGATCCGCATAGGAGCCGTTTCCTCTCGTCCACACCCACCCTGGCCCCAGAGACATATGGAGATGCAGTTCGATGGGGGGCTGCGGTGTGGACGAGATCTGGATGGCCGGTCAGTGTACGTAGTCCGTGTGCGCTCATCTTCCTGGCGTGCCCACTGAGATGGCTCTCCATGCCAGCTGGCACGCGTGCCATAGGTTTGCCATCACTGGCCTAGGCTATAAGAAGATTGCCAAGACCCTGAAACTGAGCTGCAGCATGGTGGCCAAGACCATACAGCAGTTTAACAGGACAAGTTCCCCTCAGAACAGGCCTCGCCATGGTCAACCAAAGAGGTTGAGTACACGTGCTCAGCGTCATATCCAGAGGTTGTTTTTGGGAAATAGACGTATGAGTGCTGCCAGCATTGTTGTAGAGGTTAAAGGGGTGGGGAGTCAGCCTCTCAGGGCTCAGACCATACGCCACACACTGCATCAAATTGGTCTGCACAGCTGTTGTCCAAAAAGGAAACCTCTTCTAAAGATGAAGCACAAGAAAGCCTGCAAACAGTTTGCTGAAGACAAGCAGACTAAGGACATGGATTACTGGAACCATGTCCTGTGGTCTGATGAGACCAAGATAAACTTATTTGGTTCAAATGGTATCAAGCGTGTGTTGTGGCAACCAGTTGAGAAGTACAAAGACAAGTGTGTCTTGTCTACAGTCAAGCATGGTGGTGGGAGTTGCATGGTTTAGGGAATGCATGAGTACTGCCGGCACTGGGGAGCTACAGTTCATTGAGGGAACCATGAATGCCAACATGTACTGTGACATACTGAAGCAGAGCATGATCCCCTCCCTTCGGAGACTGGGCTGCAGGGCAGTATCCCAACATGATAACAACCCCAAACACACCTCCAAGATGACCACTGCCTTGCTAAAGAAGCTGAGGGTAACGGTGATGGACTGGCCAAGCATGTCTCCAGACCTAAACCCTATTGAGCATCTGTGGGGCATCCTCAAACAGAAGGTGGAGGAGCGCAAGGTCTCTAACATCCACCAGCTCCGTGATATCGTCATGGAGGAGTGGAAGAAGAATCCAGTGGCAACCTGTGAAGCTCTGGTGAACTACATGCCCAAGAGGTTTAAGGCAGTGCTGGAAAATAATGGTGGCCACACAAAATATTGACACTTTGGGCCCAATTTGGACATTTTTCACGTAGGGGTGTACTCACTTTTGCTGCCAGCAGTTTAGACATTAATGGCTGTGTGGTGAGTTATTTTGAGGGGGACAGCAAATTTACAGTTATACAAGCTGTACACTCACTACTTATATTGTAGCAAAGTGTCATTTCTTCAGTGTTCACATGAAAAGATATAAAATATTTACAAAAATGTGAGGGGTGGACTCACTTCTGTAAGATAATGTAGATAATGGAATTTACACAGCTTTTACTTTCTGACTGCCTATCACATTGCTTGAGGTGCTAAAATACCAGGACAGTACAAACACCCCCAAATCACCCCTTTTCGGAAAGTAGACACCCTAACCTATCTGCTGAGAGGCAGGTTGAGTCTATGGCAGATTTTTTTTTCACAAGTTTTTGGAAAATGACTTTTTTTTTTTTTTTTTTTTTTAACACAAAAGTTATCAATTAAATGATATATTGCTCACAGAAGCCATGGGTAGATGTGGAATTACAACCCCAAAATACATTCTGCTACTTCTAGCGAGTATGAGGATAGCACATATGTGAGAGCCTAGCCATATACAGGAGCCTGAAATCCAATGACCACTTTGAAAGCCTGAAGGTGATTAACTTTCTCGTTATACTTCCTGACTACCAATCACAGTTTTGGAAGCCCTGAAATGCCAGGATAGCACCAACCCCATGCCCACCCCCAAATGACCCCTTTTTAGAAAGTAGACACCCCAAGGAATTTAAAGAGGCATGGTGAGTATTTTGCAGATCTAATTTCTTCTCACAAGGTTTTAAAATATATATATATATATATATATAAAAGAAAAAAACAGGTTTTTGTTTTCTTTCTTCATTTTCCATAAACATGTGGCAACAAACGAGATCTGCAAAATACTTACCATGCTTATCAATATTCCTTGGGGTATCTACTTTCCAAAAAGGGGTCAGTGGGGGGGGGGGGGGGCGGTTGGTGCTATCCTGGCATTTCAGGGCCTCTGAAACTGATAGGTAGTCAGGTAGTGTAATGAGGAAATAAAGCCCTTTAAAAAAGCCTGAAGGTGCTTATTGGATTTTGGGGTCCTATACTTGGCTATACTGCCAAAATGTCTCTCATATGTGATATCAAATACTCGGGAGAAGTAGCAGAATGTATTTTGGGAAGTAATTCCACATATACCCATGGCATGTGTGAGCAATAAATCATTTAAAATGGCAACTTTGGGTAAAATAAAATGAATATTTTTTAGCACAAGTTTTTGGAAAGTGACAAAAAAAAAAATTATCTATGGACTCAACAAGCTTCTAACCACCTGAGGACCAAGCCTTTTCTGACACTTTTTGTTCACATGAAAAAAATCTGTATTTTTTGGTAGGAAATTACTTTGAACCCCTAAACATTAAAAAAAAAAAACACATTTTTTTTTAAAGCTGACACCCTAGTGAATAAAATGGTGGGTGCTGCAATTTTGTATGTCAAAATACTTGCGCAGCGATTTTTCAAATGCAAATTTTTTTTTAAAAAATACTTTTTTTCACTTTTGTTGAACAAAAACATATTTGGCCAGTTAAAAGCCAGTTATTTGGTATAATATAAAGGTTGATGCTAGGCGCGTAAATTGGTAAAATATAAAAGATGATGCTATGCCGCGTAAATAGATATCAAACATGACATGCTTTAAAACTGCGCATGCCTCGTGCAATGGCGACAAACTGCATATTTTTACAGCTTTTTTAGATTTACAGAGGTCTAGTGCTAGAATTACTGCCCTTGATCTGACATTTGTGGCGATATCTCACATGCATGGTGCAACCGATGTTTACATACTGCCATGGGGTCAGCGGGGGGGGGGGGGGGGGGTGGGGGGGGGGGGGGTCACGAGGATGCGGTTTTTGTTATTTTTTTTTATTTTTACACTGTCCCTTTCATTTTTTTTTTTTTAATCACTTTTAATGCTATCACAGGGATTGCAAATATCCCCTATAAATTCAATGGGCATTGTCATATATTCTTTTTTGAGAAATCTCTCAAATGTCTATTAGACTCTAGATATCTCCTCTGCCCCTTACATCATCTAAGCTCACCAAGATCAGTGTGAGCAGATGCTTTCCCAACTTACAAAAATGCGCTGTTTATATTCTGTAAAACTGAAGTGATGAAATGCTTGTAGCTTCCGATTTCTGAGGACTATACAGATGACTGGCGCCATTCCGGTCTCCAATCAGCTCTATGTTTAGCTGGTAGAAACATCGGCTGCATTCACAGGTTC